CCGATAATCACGCCGCTGACAGCAGCTCACATCGGCCCCTACCGAGCTTCTCGGTAGGTCGGACCTTGGCCAGGTTCACCTCGGCCCTCATACTTGGCATCGATCAACGCTAACGGTGGTGATCTCGGCCGTCCGAGCTGGGCATGACTCATAAGTCATCTTGGAGAACCAATAGGGGTCCTCCACGTGTCCAGGGTATTCTTTCCCCAAACATGTTACATAAACTTTGTACTATTAAATCATACTTCAATATTGTTTTGTGGAAAACTTATGGGTGTTTGGTTCATTGTTTTGCCATGATTTATTAAGTCTGGGTTTGTTAAGTGTGTTTGGTTGGTGTTAAGTCTGAGTCTGTTAAGTTTGCGTTTTGTATTTTGTTAAACTGATTTTATTAAACTTGTGTTCGGTTAGTTGAGTTTTAATTTTCTTTCAAAAAAATATAATTTATAAACTAATTAAAATAATTTAAATGTAATTTAAATTATTTTACAAAAGTCAATTTGGAAATAATATTTTAAGGAATATACTTGAGGTATTGGAAATATTATTTTAAGCCACCCAAGGTGGATTCAAATCACATGGAACGCAACTCCACAAAGCAATAACTCATTGCGTATGCAACGGGTCTGGGGATAGTATGCATACCCCAGGGGCACAAAGACTAAAGGGTCGCCGACTCCTCAGTTATAAAATATATATATATATATATATATATATATATATATATATAATATTTTTAATACATTTGTCCATTCAATTTTTTTCCAATAATTAATTTTTAAAATAAATATTCAATTACCTATGAAAATACTTTTCAAATATTTATCAAATCTAAACAAGAGTATACAAATTCATTCAACATAAATTTGATCGTAGAGAAAATTTTATCAAACAATTTATTTAATTTTTTACTATTTACTTATCTTAAGTAAATTTGATTACTTAATTATTCTCAAAAAATTGATTATTTAATTATCATCTCCATTTCTATTAAATTTTACTTATTTTTATTTAACAATTATATTTTATTACCAATTTAAAACCTTTTAATTAATAATACTTGCTTAAAAACTATTAACTTGATATACAATTAAAATAAATAATTATACAAAATTATAATGTCTTTTACAAATGTGATATAGTGATAATAAAAAGTAAATAAAATGATAGAAACAAAATGAACCACTATATAAAATGAAAAAAAAAAAGCTAGAAATAGATACCAAGAACAAAAAAAAAAGATTTTTCTTGGATCATTTGAAAAAAACTAGAGGAAAAATTGTCGAAATTAATTTTAATTAAATTGATTTCATGATTTATAATTAATGAAATATATCTAATTAAAAAAATTAATGTATTTTAGAAGAGAGAATAAAGATAAAATATACATTGTAGCAATTTGGAGAGTAGAGATAAATTATTGTAGTATTTAGTGTAGCAAATCTGGAGTGGAATAGTATTTACTGTAGCAAACTAGGGTTTATAAAACTGTGAAAAAAAAATGAGTTTGTCTTAACAAACCCTACTCCCCATTTTGAAAACGAGGAACCAAACACCTTTTAAATATTTAATTAATTATCTTAAATTCTAAATTTACATTCACCATTATAAACTAGACAGATGGATAATATTATTCATATGTTATACGGAGAAAGAAGACATAATTTGAAAATTGAAGACTTTAAATGATAGTATCGTTTGACTGTATCTTACCAATCATATGATAGAATTTTAGGTCGAAGTTCAGCATAGTGGTTTTAGCCAAAATCAAAACAATATCGGGCACTCGTAGAGAAATGAAAAATATTATACCTGAAATTGAAATTTAAAAATTGATTAAAATTGAGAAATATGAATTTGAACCAAATTACAATATCTAAAAAATAAAAGGGATCCAATAATAAGATGGATTTAAATTTGAAATAAAGAGGAGTTCCCTTTCCTATTAGAACTAAGAAATCACACTCCATATTCCTTTAAATACATCCATTATTTCACCTTTCAATAACACTCAAATTAAATACTTACTTTTCTCCGATCTCCCTCTACACTCTGACTCCGCCGTCGGCTTCCACACCCGCTGCAGCCACCGCCACAAGCCAGCTGCCTTCTTCTTTTCTTTCAGTTTCCTCGGTCGAATATGGGTATACTTTATCTCCTGGGTTTCCATTATTATTTTTATTACTTTTTTTTATTTAATATTCCATTTGTAGTGGTTCTATTGTGTGTTTTTGGGTTAAACGAAAATTTATTTCTGATCTTTGGGGTTTCATTTTGCAGACATGATGCCATTAGGTCCCACCGTTTGTGTTTCATTAGGGACTTGGACTCGAGTTATGCTTTTGGGTGAAGGATCTCAGGGCAAAGTGTTCTTAGCTAAGCCAACCATGGGACCTATTTACTATGTTGCTGTCAAAGCCGCTTTCATAACAAAATCTTCTTCTCTCATCATCGAAAAAGATATTCTACAACACTTTGTCGGATGCTCAGAAATTATTCAATGTATTGGAGATGAGATAACCCTCGAAGAGTCTTCTCTTTGTTACAATCTGATATTGGAATACGCTGCTGGAGGTACCTTAGAGAACTTGATCAAAAAACAAAAGATGTTGCCAGAAAACGAGGTGAAGGAATATCTTAAAATGATATTGAGAGGGTTGTCTTGTATTCATGATAAAGGGTTTGTGCATGGCGATCTTAAACCAACTAACATTCTTGCATTCCCTCAAAGTGATGGTAAGATGAAGTTAAAGATAGCTGATTTTGGACTTTCCAAGAGATGTGTCCACCAAGATCATGAAGTGGTACTAGATACTGTTACACCAACTTCCAAGCCGAAGTTTAAAGGAACGCCCATATACATGTCACCAGAATCAGTTGCTTTTGGTAGTATTAGCCCTCCATGTGATATTTGGTCTTTGGGTTGTATTCTAGTTGAAATGATTACAGGAAAGGAAGTATGGGAGAGTTGCGAAACTAGTGGTCAGTTCATTAAAAAGCTCGTATATGAGATGGAATTACCAGCTGATATACCAGAAGAATTATCTAGAGAAGGAAGAGATTTTCTTGCAAGCTGCTTTGATCATGACCCTAAACGAAGATGGACGGCTCATATGTTACTCCAACATCCTTATCTTACACAAGAAAATTAATTTACCTTATCAACTTAATTTTCAACCTTTGATGATTGTCTAGAGTTTAATGCTCTAAATTTAGGTGACGGTGCTTTTTTATATTCATGGTTTAAACATGTAATCAAGTTTCTAAATATCCAATATCAAAGTAATGACTAAATTTAAGTTTTTGGATACAACTTGTACGTTTAAATTAATTAGTGACGAATACTGTTTAAATTTAAAGTATAATCGCAAAGTTTGGATCACAATCAACATAATTGACATATTTTTTTTTTCGGTAATATGTGACAGTGAACTTTGCTGGACCTTAACTGAAGAATCATTTTCTTGATAATTTATTTAGATTGATTTATTATTTCTTTAAGATTTTTTCTAAATAAAATTGAGCTATTTTACCTCTATGCTACTCGCTCAAAGTAGCTCACTAATTTTTTTAATTTAATATTATTACATTTTATAATAAAATATAAAAAATATCGGAATCTCCCATTTTTTTCAACAGTGACTGCAAATATTTTTAAATATTTAAGGTTCATATCACTCTGTGAGTGCTGAAAAAAAAGATTAATTTTGTCAAACTTATTATTTTATAACCCAATAATATTCTATTTGATGATTTATGTTTTAGTAAATATTATATTCATAAATTTTTATTTTTATTTAGATATGATATTTAAACAGATATAATATTTGGATCCAAATAAATCCAAATGACTTTAATTATAGTGGAAAAATGAAGGTATCGACCTTTTTATTTGATAATAATAATAAAAATGAGACCAAATATTCATCTGCCATTTTTAATAAACAAATATATAGATTTATGTAAATATAGAGCTTGTAGCTAAGAAAAATTTAAATACATCATATAATTGATAAATGTATGGAATGTAAAAGACTTGAATATGATAGATTTTGTCATTTCTTTGAAGATCTTGCATTTAATTATAATTAATTACAAAATATCAAATTATAAAGAGTTTTAATTATAACTTTTCAATTCGCTGCCCTATAAAGATAAGTCTTTTTCCACAATTTTTCTCATCTAACTACTTGAAGCTCCATTTGTTCTCTGTATTAGTCTCCCATTTTTCATTTTATTGAAGTCAAATATTAATATTTGTCTAACAATTATCAAGTGAGAGGTAAATCAATTTTTTCTCATACTATTGTTATTTTTTCCTTATTTTGATTTTTTTAAAACTATTGTTATTTTCTTCTTATTTGGATTCTTTTAATTATTTTAAAATACTTGCGTATTCATTGGATTTGCCACTAAGTTCAATTTTATAAGAAAATTAGAGTGTTTATTTTAGTGTTTATTGTCCCTTTTTTGATAATTAGGAGTTGGAATTTTGCTCCCTCGACAAAATTAGAGTTTTTAATTAAATTATAATATTCTATTTCGTAAATTTAAGTTTGTTAAGTTATTATTTGTGTTACACTGCTTTTAATAAGTTATTTTATGAGAACGTAATTAAGTTTTATATTAATATTTATTTAATTATAAAATAATTCCTCAAAAAAAAATTATAAATCGAATAAATTAGAGAAAAATACTATGTCCAAATGAACGTAGTAATAAAACTAGTCATTTAGGGCTTGAAAATGTTCCTTTTTCTTGTTTCTTATTTCCAAACTCATAGTGTGTTTGGTAATTGTTCTGATTTTTTATTTTGATTTGTCGAAAAAATTTCTAAAATTGTGTAGATGTTTTGACAATAATAAAATAAGTTTCTTATTTTTTGTTCTAATTTCAGTTGTTTCAAAAAACATAGAATAAAATAGTTATGGTATCATTTTTACTTATAAAATGTATAATAAATTCCAAATTACAACATAAAAAATGTGATTTAATTTGAAGTTTTAATTTTCATACAGAACTTCTATTTGGTTTAAGTTTTAAAATTTTAGAGAATAAAGAAACAAACACTAGTTACAAAAACATGGTTCAGTTTTTTCTTCTTTTTCAATGAACAATTACAAAAAGTCGTTATGCTTTTATTATTGAAAAAAAACATGATAAATAATGAATATTATTAAAGGAACCCTTAGTTTACCAAAGCGAGCGTAGCTCGGTAATTGAGGTTGATCGACCCTTAATTTATTTCCATCCATAATCACAAGAGTCAACACACGGCAACATACAATGCAATCTACTACTTAAAATGAAATCTATACGTATGCATAATCTAAATGGCAAGTTCAGTACTTTTTGCTGCTCATCTGCAACCCAAATTGCATGTAAATTTACTTCACACTGATCATTCAAAATCCAGCATTCAATAGAGCTACCATGGACTTTCTGTCGGCAACATCACTAGTTTTAGTGGCAGTCGCTCTTCTTTCCCATCAACTCCCTCTCATCAGTAAGAAGCTTTCTCGAATACAACACTAGTCATTTTAATTTTCATCTTACCAATAAAAAACACCCTTAATTTACGTTGGCAGGTGGTTTGGGCGGCATCGGAGTGAACTATGGACTTAACGGCGACAATCTGCCACAACCAAGTGATGTGATAAACCTGTATGGACGGTGCGGGATCGATATCGTGCGGATATTTGAGCCGAACCACGGTGTTTTGGATGCGTTGCATGGCAAACCAAATGCTTTGTGGTTGGGAACCAGAAATGAAGATATACACAGCTTCGCCACTGACCAAATGGCGGCCAATGCTTGGGTTAATGCTCACGTGCTTCCTTATTATGCAGATGTTAATATCGAATACATCACCGTTGGCAATGAAGTCGTCCCTGCTGACCCAGCTACACCTTTTGTTGCCAATGCAATTAGAAATATAATGCAAGCGCTCGTCACTGCCGGCATAAAAAAGGACATCAAGGTGATATTTTAAATTAAAGTTTAAATTATAAATTTGGTCACTAAACTACCATATTACTATAAATTTAGTCTACGTAATTTTAAAAGTTTCAATTTGATCTTCTATTATTTCGATTTAAGTTGCCATTTAGTTGATATAGTTTTAAATGAGCTAATTTAGTCTCTTAGTTACACACCAGTAAGTTTCTTTTATGGTGTGGCGTGTAATTTCATTAGTTTCACTTTTACTATATTAATAAAAAATGGATATATTATGTAATAAAAAAAATGGATATATTAAAAACTCTGAAACATCACATTGGAAAATAGGGAATCAGGGTGTAGCAAATTTTGTTTTTTTTTTTTGTTTCTTTTTCTCGATTTAGTTGTAGTTTTAAAAATTTCAGTTTAATCTTTACCATTTGAATTAATTAATTTTAGGTTAGTAAATATAATTTTAAAATTGGTCAATATAATTTGGGTTTTACTCAATTAAATTTTTGTGCTTTTAATTTATATTCAATTTAATCTCTTTATATTTATTTTATCTTTATTCTTAAATTATAAATTTCCCTCACCATAGGTAACCACGGTGGTCCACATGGGCGCCATGGGAGTCTCATACCCTCCATCCGCTGGAGTATTCACTGTCGCAGCTGCGGGACCTCTGAGCGACATCGCAAAGGTGGTGGGCTCGAGCGGTACACCACTATTGCTGAACGTGTACCCATATTTCGCGTATGCATCAAGCCCACAACAAATTCCACTAAATTATGCTCTCTTTACTTCCACGACACCGGGAGTGGTGGATGGAAATCTGAACTACTACAATCTGTTTGATGCCATGGTGGATTCTTTCTATGCGGCACTAGAGAAGATTGACGCTGCCAATGTCAGACTAGAGATTTCAGAGACTGGGTGGCCGACCAAAGGGAATGAGCCATTCACCAGCGTTGAGAATGCAGTGACGTATAACAAAAATTTTATGAACCATGTGGCGAGTGGAGCAGGAACTCCGAGGAGGCCAAATGTGAAATACAATGGGATTTTGTTTGAGATGTTCAATGAGGATCTTAAGGCAGCTGGAGTTGAGCAGAATTTTGGGTTTTTTTATCCGAATATGCAGCCAGTTTATCCATTTTGGAATTGCTAGTGAAGAAAAAAAAATAATAAATAAATAAATATGTCTCAGTCAAAATGTTACTTGCATTCAAATGTTGCAACTCATTAGATTTGTTGCTCTAAAATTTTCAATTGCATCCATTATATGTAAATTTTAAAAATTTTTAAAATTGTTGACACCATCGTGGGAATTTAAATCAAACTTGCGACTTTAAAGAAATGATTTATTATTATTATTATTATTATTATTATTATTATTATTATTATTATTACCACTACTTTGAGAACAACTACTTATGGGATAGGAATTCAAACTCTAATCGACAAATGATATATACATACTACTTTGAGAACAACTACTTATGGGATAGGAATTCAAACTCTAATCGACAAATGATATATACAGCTATGTTTAGATAGACTTAGAAAAGAAATGATGTGGTTTTGTAGCATGCTTAGATTGCTAGAAAATGAAAATTGATGCAAAAATAAAATTATTTTTTTTAAACAACAAATATCAATTATAACAAGTCTTATTTAAAGGCTAAAAAGAATAGATTTGCATACTTAGTTGAGAGTTATTTATGATGAAAAATATATGATCATGCATCTATCTTAGCAAAAGTGTGCATGTTTTGTGATTAAGGACTTGGGCATTTAGTTATAGGTAATGAGGACTAATCTGTGTAATATGTTTATTTTATAAGGAAAAATTGAACCTTGGTGATCACAATGCGTTAGGCGCATCACACTCCCAGAATTTCCAGCTTACTAGGGTAATGCGCTAGCCACACTACTTTGAAAGATCCAACTTCACTATGCTTCAACCATATTCGATGCCTAGATTATCAAAACGTGAATAACCACTTTTGACCAAGTATTGGTCCAATATCTGGTTGTTTCCTATTACTCGTAAATCTGATGTTCCTGTTGTGTTTAAACGTTTTAAGCCTCTTGTTGAGAATCGATTCTCTTCTCGTATTAAAATTCTTCATAGTGATGGTGGGGGAGAATTTGTCAATCATACTTTGGGTTCTTTTTTGCATGAAAATGGTATTCTACATCAAAAATCTTGCTCCTACACTCCTCAATAAAATGGAACTGCTATTGTGGAGGTCGCTTTAACTCTAATGTCCAAATCTTCTCTTCCCTTAAAATTTTTGCCTTTTGCCTTTGCTACAGCTGTTTTCATTATCAATCGACTCCCTTCTCCCTTACTATCTCACAAATCTCCTTTTGAGTTACTATTCCAACGACCTCCTGATTATTCCACCCTTAAAACATTCGGGTGTGCCTGCTATCCCTTGTTAAAACCATATACCACACACAAATTACAACCCAAAACTTCACAATGTATCTTCCTAGGCTATTCGTTAGATTATAAGGGATACTTGTGCTACAACATGAGCAACGGTCGACTCTATACCTCTAGCCATGACGTTTTTGATGAGTCTCTATTTCCCTTTTCTCTTCCTTCTTCACCTGCTAATTCTCCTTCTTCCTCTTCCTTGTCTCAACTTCCTCTTTCTCTTTTATTTCCCTATGATCCTTTACCTCACTCACCTATCATGCCTCCCATTCCACCTATTTTGCCTTCCATGTCTCCTATTCAGCCCAATTTAATATCATACCAACCCTGCCACTTATCCCAACTACTTCACCTAATCCTCCATCTCTTTCACCTATTGAACCCAATTTCCATTCCACTACACCTATTCATCCAAATTCTACCTCTCCTTTATTACATTCCTCATTGCCAATTCATACACCTTCTTCACCTTGTCCGGCTATGCCTATGGGCTCTGCTTCAGATCCATTGATTCATGATTTTGTAGCTTCTGGGATAAATTCTCCTTCAGTAGTGACTATACCACATAATACTCATCCTATGCAGACTCGTGCTAAGTCGGGTATTTCCAAGAGGAAAGTGTTCATGGCAACCTCTCTACCTAGTTCATATGTTGAACCTACTTCGTTTATTACTGCATCTAAGTTGTCTGTCTGGAGAGATGCCATGGCTGAGGAATTTAATGCTTTAATCCGGCAAAATACTTGATTTCTTACTCCTCTCCCAACGGGTAAAATAGCTATCGGTTGCAAATGGGTGTATCGTGTTAAACATCACCCCGATGGAAGTGTTGTGAGACATAAAGCTAGGTTGGTTGCCAAGAGGTAGTATTGATTATGAAGAAACCTTTAGCCTGGTTGCCAAGAAACCCATCAATTGGATGTTAAAAACGCCTTTCTCCATGGTGAACTTCAAGAGGAAGTGTTTATGCAACAACCTCAAGGGATTGTTAGTTCTTCTCATCCTCATTACGTGGGCAAGCTTTTAAAGTCGCTCTAGGAGCTTGTTTTGAATGTTTTACCTCTAATTTACTAACCCTTGGTTTTGAAGCTTCACATGCTGATTCATCCCTTTTTGTGTGCATTTTAATGATTCTATCACATATCTCCTCTTGTATGTTGATGACATTATTATTACCGGCAGTCATCATGTTTATATTAAGTAGTTGATATCCCAGCTTCGTTTACGTTTTGAAATGACTGACTTGGGTGTCTTGCGGAATTTTCTTGGACTTGAAGTTAGTTATTCTTCTGTTGGGATATCTGTTAATCAAGCTGAGTATGCCCGCGATGTGCTTACTTGGTTTGGTATGCTTGCTTCCAAACTTTGTCATACTCCTATTGCACTTATTGCTTCATCTGATGTTGGTTCACCCTGTACTGTCGAGAATGCTCATACTTATCGAGCTATGGTTGGTGCCTTGCAATATCTCACATTTACTCGATCAGATATCACGTTTTCTGTTGGGAAGTTATCTCAACATATGCATGCCCCTTACGTTTTCTGTTGGGAAGTTATCTCAACATATGCATGCCCCTTTTTCATCTCATTTGATTGCAGCTAAACGGGTATTGCGCTATATAAATGGTTTTCTTCATGCCGGTCTTTTGTTCAAGAAAAGTGGTTCTATTGATGAAGCTCTTAGGCTTCGAGCCTTTTCTGATTCGGACTGGGCTGGTGACACCCTTTCGATAGACGATCTACTACTGGATTTGTTGTTTTCTTGGGCTCAAATCCTATATCTTGGGCTGCTAAGAAACAGTCCACTATTTCTTAGAGTTCTATGGAGGCTGAATATCGAGCTCTTGCCATCACTGCGGCTGAAATTTCTTGACTAAGACAGCTTCTTAAAGATTTTCGTCTCTTCAGCCCTTACCCGCCTATCCTATACTGTGACAATCTTTCTGCTCTTCAGCTTGCTAAAAATCAGGTCTTTCATATTCGGACGAAACACATTGAAATTGACTTCTATTTTGTTCGAGGGCGGGTTGATAAGAAAGATCTTACACTGCAGTTTGTTCCTACTACTCAGCAGCTCGCTGATTTGCTGACTAAACCGCTTACCTGTGAAAGACTGGAGTTCTTCAAAGCCAAACTCATGCATCCTTAGGTTGTTCGTTTGCGGGGGGATATTAAACTAATTCCTGCTATATTTACTTTTCTTTTATCAAATTAGTTGTTGTATCTGTTAGTGGTTATAATATTTATCAAGTCTAGTATCCGTATAAATACTATTAAAAGTCCTTCCATATAATTAAGGAGAATGGACTTTTTTTTCATTAATATAAAAGAATCTTTTAACCGGTACTTCTTCCATGAGCTTAAGAGCTCTTCTTCGACGGACTTAGGATATCTTCCGTAGTGAGTAGGGGCCGAGGGGGCTCGAGCCCCCCTCAACTTTTAAAATTAGAGGTTTAGTATATAATAATCCACCTTAGTTATCAAATTTAGTAATGCTTTAGATGTAGTTTTGAGTGCCACTTCCTTTTCTGTAACTCATATTTTTTCGTTAAATTTCCTTCCAAGAGGTCAAAACTTTTTAGTGCCGGTACGGCACGTGTGTGGGCCTTGGTCTTGGCTTGCCTCACACCAAGTTTATAAGCCTAATACTGAGTCAATGCTTATAAATCAACTTCCCAAAGATTATTCTTCCGATGTGAGACAACAAAAGGTTTTAATATTTGTCATTTCCAACAGCCTCCACTTTTGTAAAAGATATATTCATGAATTTTCAAATTGGCAATCGTAAATCATGATTCCACCTTCCGCGATATCAAGCCCAACAGCAAAAGAATCAAGGTATAACGCCTCTTCGCATTTCAATTTCCCTGCATTATGTTTTCTCATTGGGATTTTGCTTTTCCCTCAATTCCCCTATCTGGGTATTGAATTTCTTCTCATTTTCGATTGATTTCCTTGATTGTTCTTCACATTTCATAGTGGGTTTTATATTGGCAGCGCTGGAGCTCCCGATGATGAATATGATTGATGGCCGCCATGCCTAAAACTCCTCCTGAGAGAGAGGAAGGGACGGGGAAATGAGGGATCACGGTTTGGAAAAGGAGAGGGAAGAGAGGGAAAGAAGAGGAAGAAAGAGAAAAAATTAGATAAAAATAGAAAAAGAAATTGGCATATAATTTAAAACTAATAAATATATAATTTACAATATGTCAGCACTTCATTAGTTGCGAGGAAATTTAATTCCATGGAGCTCATCGGTAGATGAGCTTAAGAACTCTTCCGTAGATAAACTTAGGAACTTGGTCATACGTAGATGATCTCGCCACGTGGTAGGTCATATTTTTGCCCCAACACTACTGATTAATACAAGTTAATTTTTTTAATATAAGTTAAATCCTAAAGTACCATACTTATTTAATACTTCTTTTATTTATTTTATAAATCTACTTTAGAATTTCTTTTAGAATCTTAGTTAAATTTAAAATATTTGGCCATGTTTCATACAAATTTTGTTTTTTATTTTATGTTTTTTAAAATTAATGTTAGAAATACTCTTTCTGCGAAACATAAGCCAAGTTTTGAAAACTAAAATCCCGTTTGATAAAAATTTTAATTTATTTGGAATGCAACAATAAGATAATACCCATAGGTTATGTGATGATACCTGATATTAGTGAGTAATTTTATTTAAATAAACGCATCATACCGATCTTTAAAATATTATATACAAATTATACATTTTTCTTACTTAACATATAAAGAGAGTATGCCTTCGACATGTGAATATTAGAAACTTTTGTTTCAATAAGGTATCCAAAACAATTCAGATGTCTCTCGCATGGAGATCCTAAGAAACTCGGATATCATGAGATACCATGTATCCTATATTCCTACAAAACAAATGTGGAAATTCAGATGTCCGTCTTCTAGAAATTTTGAATTCCCACGAAACAGACGACACATAGAAGATATGTTAGAAATAGAAAAAATTATATTCGTTCTGGAAAAAGAATGTACAACTTTAGACTAAGACAACACATGCTTAGATTGGTAGTTTGATATATATTTTCTAAAAATTGATAGACTTTTCATTTTCTTTTTCCAATATAACATAAGTTAGTTAACTTTTCCTATTATCTTATATATTATTTTTTTTAGTACAACATAGGTGGGACATCGAACTTACAACCTCTTAGTTGGAGATATATGTCAATTACCATTGAGTTATGTTCGCTTTAGCATGTTATACATTATTTTTAAACTTGAGTTAGATCTTTTTTTTTTTAATTCTTCAACTTTGTACTATATTTAAACGTGCATATTTATTTATGTTATTTAAGTAAATATCTTTAAAAATTAATATCATTAAATCATATTTAGAATATGTCGACTTGAATATAATTTAAATTGTTAATGGAATGTACCTTCCTTGTTTCTTATCAACTGGATGACAAGGGAGTCTCATATAAAAAGTGTCTAAACTAATAAAATTGGCATGAGGATAAAATTAAATGGATTTGAATATTTTCATACGTCACATATAGCACTTCAAAATCTAAGAAAAAAAATCCTCCTGGTAAAATGGAAAAAAAAACATCATTCTTTTATATATGTGTATATATATAAATAATATAATGCTTTATATAAAAAATAAATTTTGAAGTTTAAACATCTTGTGGGCATGCGGGAGTGGTTATCGGGCATGACTAGAAATCATGTGGGCTTGGCCTGTGCAAGTTCGAATCCTACCGCTCACGATGTGACTTTCCCTTTTATAATTTTTATTAATTAATGGGAAGAAACATCAAAACTAATCAGGAATACTAAACTTCAATTTTCTATATACATAAGATATTATCCCCCTAAAGGAAATAAGTTTGAGTTGAAAATCGAATCAATATGAATTTATTTTTAATTCTAAAACTATTTCGCTCACCATAAAAATTTATATCTATCTTTATATTTAGTTTTTATTTCATTTAATAATTTTTTATGAATTATTTATTCTCTAAGGACTTTGAAAAATATAATTTTTTAAGTTTTTGGAGGGTACTTTTTAACCATATAAATAAATATTGAATTGTGTATTTTGTTTCAATGTTAGACAATATATAAATAATTGTTTGATATATTATCATTTACATTTTTTTTGTATATAATACTTTTAATAAACGAATTGAATAACTCGAAGTAACCAAACCAAAATACATGGTTGGGTCTAAAAAGTATCTGAACCCAACCCAACCTGCTCAAGGCATGAAACCACACTGTCAAGTGGAGGACACAGAGTGGACGATTACTCAAGGGAGCTCCACTCCATTGTCAGGTATCTTATTCCATCTTGATCTTAATATCATGGTCGATCTCCTTACTGAGTTTAGCGTCGAAGTGTTTGCTCCCTTGTGCAGGTTCTCCCTCACCACAAGATCTTACAACTTGCTCTGGTTCGTTCAAGATCGCTCAAGATTGCTCAGATGACTCACCCCGACCTGATCATCCAAGACTAGATACTTTGTTGCACAAACACAACTCAACTCGTGAACACTGATAAAAGTAATATAGAGTGCCAATAAAAGTAAATATCCTGCATTTTTTATTAATTTTAATTTTGAAAAGAGCTCTCCAACCATTAGTGATTTTCGTAAAATTTTGTTCGCAATATATGAAATAATTGTTATAAGCTAGAAAAACTCAAAAGTTAAATCTGGTATAAGTGTTCTCTCTTTTTTTTTTTCGTATTAGTTCAAGTATAAGCTTGTTAATAAAATTTATTTGCAGTAAATTCTTTTTTTGAAATTTAAAATATTTTATTGTTGTAAGGAATAAAATAAGTCAAATAAAATAGAGAATTTAAAATGTTTATTACAAAGTTTGAAAGGCTCATTAATCATTAATTTTTCAAAATAGTATTTACATTTATGCAGTGAATTTTCGAAGATAATTCTTCTAAAAAAATTTACAATTGAAAAAATATGTATGGAATAAAATTAATTAAAGATAAAATTTTATCACTAACAAAAAAATTAAAAACAACTATTTAAATATTCAATTAATTGTTTTAATTTAAATTTACATTCACGATTAAGATAAATAGAGATTGTATGGGAAAAAACAGCGTTTTCTTAAAAAATAAAAAATAAAACTGAAGAGCTTGATGACGATTTCGTTATATTTTTGTCTACATCTTATCAATGATAGGAAAGAATTTTTGGTTAGAGGTACAACATAATCGAACGAAAATTGATATATAAAATAAGAAAATTGTAGATAATAAAAAATGTTATACCAGAAAATGAAATTTAAAATTGAAAAGTATGAATTTGAATTAGAAGATAAATGAAAACAATATCTGAAAAATAAAAGGAATCAAAAAATAAGATGAATTCAAATTCGAAATAAACAAGAAGAGTTCGATTTCCTGTTAGAACTAAAAAATCACAGCCCATATCCCTTTAAATATATCTATTATTTCATCTTTCAATAACTCAACTTAAATACTTATTTTTCTCTGATCTCTTTAGACCCATTGTTTCCTTCTTTTCTTTTCTCGGTCGACTAAGGTATATTTTTCTCTCCTTGGGTTCCATTATTCCTTTCATTACTTTTTCTTAATTAACATTTTCTATATATTGGTTTAGGTAGTTGTGGGTTTGGAGTTAAAAGGAAAATTCGTTTTACTAATTTTTGAGATTTTCTTTTACAAACAAGATGCAGTTAGGGCCCACCGTTTATGTTTCATTAGGGACTTGGACTCGAGTTATGGTTTTGGGTGAAGGATCTCATGGTGTAGTGTTCTTAGCCAAGCCAACCATGGGACCTATTTACTATGTTGCTGTCAAAGCCGCTTTCATAACAAAATCTTCTTCACTCGTCATCG